GTGACAGAGTGAGACTCCAACTCAAAAAAAAAAAAAAAGAGGAAAATGGAGAGTAATCCATATCCTCTTAGGACAAAAGCAATTGCAATTCTTAAAATTTATCTAAGGTAATATTTAAAAATCATGTTTTCGAATAGAAAATTGTTCTAAATTACTTAGAAACCCTGAAACTATAGAAGACTAAGAACAGAGATTAATCTTATTATTATTAAAATACTTCTGATTCGTAAGAATTCTATCCCACTGCTTCCAAATGCATTGTCCTGTGCTCTCTTCCAGGTTCCTTCTCCCATTCGTGACCACCCAGGGCACACATGAAAGCTCCATTCCACCTCAAATATATCTCCTGTTCATACTCACCCCTCCTCAGCACCAGTGAGTCTGGGTTTTTTTCTATTCTCTGGAATTTCTCTTTCTTTTGCTATGGGTAGCCTACATACAGTGTCCCATGATCCTTGCTGTCTGAGATTCCCACACTAGCTGTTTATTCTCTTTTACCCCTTCTCCTGCCATGTCTCTGGCTTCCTTTCTGTCTGCATGTCATTTTGTTGCACCCTTTTGTCTTCTCTCTCTCTCAGCTTCCTCTTTCTCTAAGATGATCTTTTTAGTGTGTGCCTCAGTCCCTGGGACTCTCTCTCTCCCTTGGGACCCTTCTTCACTCTATACAGTTTCCTATTTTACTTTATTTGGTTTTCAAACTGTCTTTACTTAGTTCACACCCTCTCTCTGGCCTTCATTCGTTTACCACAGAAAAGTAAAATAAGAGGTCATTTCACAGAAGATGATGGAGAGTGACAGAAATTATGAATGAGAATCTATCAAAAACTGAAACATGAAACACACAGAGCATAAACAACCACAGAAAAAGGTTCAGAAAGAGAAAGAGGTAATGGGCCATGGATGGGGAACATATGGCATGAGACAAGTCCCAGAATCAGGAAGATCTCCAGATGGGGCATAGAGTTGGGGTGAAGCATTTGCAAAAGCAAATGAGTGTGTTGGGAAGGAGGAAAAGTGAGAATCACAAAGAATAACAAAGAAGAAGCTTTATGGGAGAAATGGAACCAAAGAGAAAAGGAAAGAAAAAGAAAAAATTAGAGCAACAGAAAATAAAAGAGAGGTTAAAAATACACATGCAATGAAAGAATGACAGCAGAGACTTCAAAAATGGGGAAAAACAAAGAGAAGTTAAGACAAAGCAGGAGAAAAAAAAAAAAAAAGCAAGCCAATCCAGGCAGAAAAAAAGGCCAGAGTCAGACAGAGACCCAAAAACAGATTAAGACTTATTTAGGGACACTTGAGAGTCCTGGAATAAAGAGACAGAGAGAATGCCCATAAGAAAGAGAATAGAGCCAGGCTCGGTGGCTCAGCCTGTAATCCCGCGCCTTCGGGAGGCTGAGGTGAGTGGACTGCCTGAGCCTGCGGATTCGAGACCCGCCTGGGCAGGCGAGACCTCATCTATACAATAAATAAAAAAATAAGCCGGGTGTGGTAGCGCGCGCCTGTAGTTCCGGCTACTCGGAAGGCCGAGGCGGAAGGATCGCCGGAGCCCAGCAAGTTGAGGCTGCGGTGGCCGGGAGCGGCCACTGCACTCCAGTCTGGGCGACAGAGTGAGACTCCAACTTAAAATAAAAAGAATAAAGAGAATAGTGTCATAGAAACCATGCCAGATTTAGAAGGATCCGAGCATACTCAGAGCAAAGTAGTGGAATGACCTGCAAGAAAAAAAACTGGTATCAAAGACAGAGAATCATACAGAATGAGAGGTAGCCAGATGCCCAGTATAAACAACCAAAAAACAAACTGATTAAAAAGAGACAGAAGGGGAAAAGAGAGGGCATAACAAAGTCACTGACTCATACCAATAGAGTGCGAAAGCCATTGAGAAAGAACCCAGAAAAGAAAAGAGATCGGCAGTGCCATAAGAGAATACTGACTATGAACCACAGGTCCAGAGGAGCCCTGTCAGGAAAGGGAATGTGAGGAGCACAGGAAGGGAGAATGAGGAGGGAGAGTAGGAGTGCACACACGAGGGACCCAAGGAACCTGAAAGACAGAGCAAGTATATCCGATTCGGCTGGGGAGTCAGGCCATTAGAGGAGCTGTGAGAAGTCAGTCAGACTGGGGCATGTCAGAGAGGATCAGATGGTGGGGTTGGCCCTCATTCTGTAGACAATGAGACAACAGTGAATGTTTTTGGTAATAGAGAGTGCAAAGCCCTGGGGCCACAGGCGCCTCAGGTGCAAAGCCCTGAAGGCAGACTGGGCTCTGTTCCTGGATCTGCAAGCCTCCACCATCCCTAGGTGCTTGGGGCTAAAATCCTGAGATCATATCAGGACTGGGAAAGAGCCACTACCACTGAAGAGAAGAGGAAGCTAAGAAGAAAGCTGGGATTGGTTCCCTTTCTACAGGGCTAGTAAAGGCAGAGAAGGGCTAAGAAAAATAATAATCCAGACCCAGGCAACACAGTGTATCATCTGAATAGGCTATAAAATTATGTACCCTTTCTTCCTCTAACTTCTGCTTTCGTTTTTCTTCCGCGGATATTCTCCGCTGCTCATCTTTCTCTTTTTGCTCTCTCAGCTTTCGCTGCTTTTCTTCCATCTGTTTTTCATATTGGATCTTGGCCTTTCTTTCTTTTTCAAGTAGTTGTGTTTCTTTATTGGCTGAAATATTCCAAATACATTTTCAAGGTATAAGAGCCAAGAAAATATTTAAGTTTTCCACATTACGCATATAGAAGGAAAAAGTTACTGTATCTCATTCTCTTTCTTAAAGTAACACAATCTATGCTAGTAACTAAAGATTTACTATAAAAATGAACAGAGGTGGCCACTAAAGAGTCATTTTCACTAAGTGTTCACCTAACTTTGGAGAACTGAATTGCCTATGCCAGATGACTCCCATCCTGTCCAAACTACAATTCTAAATTGAGAAGAAATATTTTCTTTTATGTGATATTTCTGCTGATTTGAACTAACGTCAAACACCACCAGATTAATATGCTGTATGTTAAATATAAATTTAAAAAAATACATGGTCAGTATATACATTTTGTTTCCTACTTTAGGAAAGTTCTTATCTATACAGACCATATTAAACATGATGGTTTTACATTAATGGACTTAGCCATATACCATGTTATAGAAAAGCATACTTGTTCCCTATATTCAAATTTTCCCTCACTAAATGCTTCTGAACTGTGACCTTGCATAAATTAGGATCTTAAAGGATAATCTTTCTATGACTTCAGAGCATGTTTTTACCTTTTTTATGTTGGAGTTATTAGCAACTTATTTTCATTTTTATTATCACTTTTACTGAATTCTTACTCTGCTTGTTTCTATAACTGAATAAATTTTCACTCCTTAGTTTTCAGAAAATCAAACCTAATGAAACTATACCTGCAAAAATTAAACAATTTAGTGAAATTGTTACTTGATTTAGTACAAAGATTTAAATCCAACATAATACATAATATAAAATTATAATCAATGATATAAACAAATCAGGAAACAATTAAAAACACTTTGAAATACACAACATAAAATACATTCATTTTGATTTTTTAAAAAAGTCTAAAATATACCATCTTGCTGTCTCCATTTTTCTTCCCTGCGTTCCTTTGCTAATCTTTGTTTTTCATCATATTTAAGCACAGATCCATCTATTACTAAAAAAGAGAATATTGTTAGACATTAATAGGATATCACACTTTAAAGATATGACACTTTGCCATCTATAAAAGCATTATAGAAATTATACCTGGTTTACATGCTGATCTTATATTTGAAGACTGGTGTGCAGCAGGGCTAACTCCACTTTGATTCCTCCTTTCTTCAGCAATGGCATGAGCTGCTGCAACTAAAATACAGGGAGATAAAGGAAAGAGATTAGATGTTAAGAAAACAAACAGCTAATATAAAAGTCAGCAAACCACAGCCAATTGTATGTTGATAATAAAGGATATGGCCACTTCTACAAGGTAAAATGGCTGATTTATCTGGGTCAACAACAAACATAAATTGAGTATATATGTTGTTCAACAATACTTTAGCAAAGTAAAACAAAGTGTTTACTGTGGATGTTCCAGGGCATTTGCGAACATAAATTATTAGCGTTATTAGTGGCAGTGACAGCACAAGCTTGTGAATGAGTTGGAACAAGTGATTAAAAACTTTGAAAAATGTCTCAGACAAGACATTATACAAAGTATGAGAAAAACTGAGCTGGCAAGGAATTGGAAAAAATGTTTCACTATAAATTGGGAACTTAGAGCCGGGCTTGGTGGCTCAGCCTGTAATCCCTTGCTTGGGGAGGCTGAAGTGAGTGGACTGCCTGAACCCGCGGGTTCGAGACTCGCCTGGGCAACTTGGCGAGACCTCACCTCTACAATAAATCAAAAATTAGTTGGGCGTGGTAGCACGCGCCTGTAGTTCCGGCTACTCGGAAGGCTGAGGCGGAAGGATCACCAGACTCCAGCAGGACGAAGCTGCGGTGGCTGGGAGCAGCCACTGCACTCCAGTCTGGGTGAAAGTGAGACTCTAACTCAAAAAAGAAAAGAAAAGGAAAAAAAGGTTAAAAATCTATGGATCTAAATCTGGAAGGAAAGTGTTAACAGTAAAAGCCTCAGAAATCGGGCCCAATATCAAGGAGTAACCTTATAAATTACCTGTATCAAGGGCTTTCTTTCCTGGCTGCAAGCTACAGTCACCTCAATCACCTTTAAAAAATTAGCAAGGCCTGCCCCTCTTCCCCCCACCCTCCAGTTTCCGGCCCAGTCATCTACAGTTGTTAAAAGCTCTATTCTGATTAAAAGTGAAGGTAAACCGGGCTTGGTGGCTCAGCCTGTAATCCAGCGCCTTGGGTGGCTGAGGTGAGCCCGCGGGTTTGAGACCACCTGGGCAACTTGGGGAGACCTCATCTCCACAATAAATCAAAAAATTAGCCAGACATGTTAGCATGCGCCTGTAATTCCAGCTACTCAGAAGGCTGAGGCGAAGGATCGCCAGCACCCAGCAGGTCTAGGCTGCAGTGGCCGGGAGTGGCCACTGCACTCCAGTCTGGGTGACAGAGTGAGACTCCAACTCAAAATAAAAACAATAAAAAAAGTGAAGGTAGAAGAGCCACTCATCTACAAGAAGGAGAGGATAACATTCTAGGTAGAAAAATGTTAGGCAAACAAATACAAATTATACAAAGTGCTACCATATGTCTTATGTAAACAGGCAAAAAAGTGATAAACTTTAATAAGGGTGGAATATAAGATTAGAAAAACACAACTTCAGGGAAAGTAAGAAAAACTAAAATTACAGGCGCTACACATGAGTTATTATAGGGGAATCCTTAAACCCTTTAATTCCATGTATCTAAAATGCCCAATACTGGACATCTCCAGGAACGGTATGGAAAATAACACTGAAAACTCTATTCTAACTTTATATAAAAACGCAGAAAGCATACCTTGCAATATTGCATACAAGTCTGGTCTATATCAAGGAAAATATAACAATTGAAGATGGGCAGTTAAAATAAGGGAATAGAGGGGCTGTCCTGCACCAGAATGAATGGACTCTGAGATGTTAGCTGCCACTGAAGAAAGTTATCTAGGAGCTATTTTACATTATAACCTTGAAAATGATAACATGGCCGGGCTGGGTGGCTCAGCCTGTAATTCCCCGTTTTGGGAGGCTGAGGTGAGTGGACTGCCTGAACCCACGGGTTCGAGACCCGCCTGGGCAACTTGACCAGACCTCATTTCTACAATAAATCAAAAAAATTAGCCGGGCATGGTAGCGTGCGCCTGTAGTTCCAGCTACTTGGAAGGCTGAGGCAGAAGGATCGCAGGAGCCCAGCAGGTCGAGGCTGCGGTGGCCAGGAGTGGCCACTGTACTCCAGTGTGGGCGACTGAGTGAGACTCCAACTCAAAAAAAAAAAAAAAAAAAGAAAGTGATATCACAATTGCTGCCATAGGGATCACCATTTCAAAAGATTATTATTATTATTTTTTTTGCCCTAGAGACCTAACATCTCGGATAATCTATGATTTAGCTAAATTTGAAGATTAGGCTCTTCTCAGCTTCCTTAATAATTTAACTACTAGCAATTCTGTGGACCACACTTATCTTCTGAATTTGAGCATCAATGCATCAACGAAAATTCTCAAGTATAGTCTACAAATTATCACTGCCACATACCTCCCACTTACAACATTTGTGAGCACAGAGAAAACAATAAAGTACATTGTAGTACTGTTTTTGCATATTCAGTTTTCCTGTTTAGAAGTTCTAAGTATAGTTTGTATTTAATACAACTGAGCTGAAAATTTCTCTCAACATGTACATTTCTACCAGATAATTTTTCTTTTTTTGAGTTGGAGTCTCACTCCGTCGCCTAGACTGGAGTGCAGTGGCCGCTCCCGGCCACCGCAGCCTCGACCTGCTGGGCTCCGGCAATTCTTTCGCCTCAGCCTTCCAAGTAGCCGGAATTACAGGCATGCGCTACCACGCCCGGCTGATTTTTTGATTTATTGTAGAGATGAGGTCTCGCTGCCCAGGCGGGTCTCAAACCCGCGGGCTCAGGCAATCCACTCACCTCAGCCTCCCAAAGGCGTGGGATTACAGGCTAAGCCATCGAGCCCGGCTTCTACCAGATAATTTAAAGATCTTAGAGGTAGCTGTGGTGGGAATAATGAACCAAATCATATAAAGGCTATTGTGGCAATAATAACAAATCTGATTTTTAGACCTTTATATCCAAATTCCTACTGGCAAGAAATTCATTCACAGAAAACACATGATTTAAAAATTATTTAAAATGTCCAGGAAATAGGAGAAAGCCTTTATGTATGGGCTTAACAGAGTTAATGTTTTAATCAACTTCATTGAATGAGAGAATTTATTTAACAGGCATTTAAATGAATGAGGGCAGCCGGGCTTGGTGGCTCAGCCTGTAATCCCGCGCTTTGGGAGGCCCAGGTGAGTGAATTGCCTGAGCCCAAGGGTTCGAGATCCACCTGGGCAACATGGCGAGACCTCATCTCTACAATAAATCAAAAAAATCAGCCGGGCACGGTAGCGTGTGCCTGTAGTTCCAGCTACTTGGAAGGCTGAGGCGGAAGGATCATCAGAGCCCAGCAGGTTGAGGCTGCGGTGGCCAGGAGCATGCCACTGCACTCCAGTCTGGGCGACAGAGTGAGACTTCAACTCAAAAAATAAAAAAATAAATAAATGAGGGCATTTACTTAATATTTACTTAAGAGTAACAGCCAGGTACAATAAGTATGCCACAGTATTTCTGTATATATTATTTCTGTAGCTCTTCTACTAACTCTAAATCTGAAATTAACCTGAAAAGTAAAATTTATCTTTTGCCTGGAGATTAAATAAGAAAATTTGTAGTGTATTACTAAAATTGAATTATGAATCTTAATCAGTACTTATGGTACTTTACTAAAAATTGCCGTAACAAATGTTATATAGCACTTTACCACTTACAAAGTTCACTTGTAATATTTCTTTTTTTATCTTCTTTTTTTTTGAGTTGGAGTCTCACTCTGTCGCCCAGACTGGAGTGTAGTGGCTGCTC